TCTATCTATCTACTGTATCTATTCCAGATTATCTCTGTCAAAATGTATGTAACTGACTCTAAATCTGTCTGTATTATTAAATTATAGAATTTATTTTATTTATCTTTTTTGTTTGCAAATATCTTTATTGAGATCATATTTGTTTTGAATTGTTTCCGTATAAATTCACTAAACTGAATTTATTTCTTTTGCCTTTAGGGGTAAAAATTAAAACAACTTTGCGGGATATAATCTGCACTTTGGGCTTTTAATAAAACTTCGGTAAACCCTCAGAGTAGAAACTGTTAGGTTAGGCACCGAGAAGATTTCAAGAAACTTGAACTACTTATTATATGTCACTTTTTAGTAGATCCGTAAAAATTAGGTCAAGTAAAAGTAAAAACACTGCCTTGTTTTCTTTCACCCAGTTCACTTAACCAGGTGATTAGCTCCCAGTTTGTGTGATGGAGCTGGAAATGCAAAAGGTTCAAACTAATCTCTGTACAGAGGTTTTACCTTCTGGATCTAGATTATCTGGAGTATCACCTCTGGTTTTTAAATATCAATAAAAGTGTGTGAATGTGACTGGATTAATGTAAATGTATCTTTGTCTACTTGTCAGGTTGAGAATTTGCCTCCCCCCACCTACTGGAACATCCTAGGACCCCAATATGAGAATTGCCTGCCTCTTCCCCCTTCTTACGCTCACCACTGATACGAGGTGCCTATGTCTGCTGCTGCACTGATTGTTCTCTAGGTGTGGAGTTTGGTACTTCAGTGGGCACTGTCTCATTCCTGGTGGCTGCCAGGCCAGGCTGGGCCTCCGTGCCCTGTTGGGTCCCCACTGGGGGGTTCAATCCCCAGTGCAAAGCTTTTCATCCACTGATGTAGAAGTATCATATGAACTTTACAATGTATAATGCACACACCTCTTATCGTACATCTACAGTGATAATAATAATAATTCTCTTACCCAGATGCACCACAGAGCGCAACAGGAAATCATTCCTGTCTGTGGTCATCAATCTCTACAACACCTCCCTCAAGTGATTCAGACCCCCCCCTCTGTGATTGACATTTATTTGTTCTTTGCACTGTTTTTGCACAACGTCACCATTACTTTATTTGGATCTATAGTTATACATATGCATATACATACATATAAATATATATAGAGTTATATATGTATATATTTATATTACTTTGTGTGGTTTTGTTGTGTATATATATATCTATATATATATATAGATATATAGATATATGTTTGTATATTTGGAATGTATAACAAAAGTAATTTCCCTCTGGGATTATTAAAGTATGTCTGAGTCTGATAACTGTTATCATTATTGATGTGATTGATTTTGTGCAGCTCTTTTACAAGCTGTATAATACTTCTTCATGCTACTGTTACCAGTGTTCCAGAGAAGGGTGGCCCAGTTAGGCACAAGGTGCACTCATGTTGGAATGGAAACATTTATAATTGTCATAGTAGGGGCCTGTCGTTGTAAAGAGATGTCATAGTGGGGGGGTTGTCTGAATATTGGGCTGTTGGATTGATGGTATGTCAGAATAAGGTTTGGACCCTGTTTATTAGTAGAAGTAGACTAGTTCTTTTTACACATTGTGCCATTACTATAAAAACTACCCCTCAAGAGAGGAATCTAAAATACATTTTTCATGTGATCCAGTAACTTTTGCATGATTAGTGCATAGAGCTTGGAATCCTGAGGTTGTGAGTTCAACACCCACTCCCACGGACTGCCACTCTGGGTCCCTTAACCCCCGATTGCTCCCTGGGCGCCCCACGATGGCAGCCCACTGCTGGGTTAAATGCAGAGGTAAATTTCTCCAATGTGAGATCAATAAAAATCAATTATTATTATGAATGTGCAAAAATATACAATAGATTGAACCTTATATTTGTTAATATTTAAGCTGAAAAAATGCAACAAAAAAAATAAAAAAAAATTGCTGTGATTTCTGGCAGCAAAATCATTGTATGCCAGTCAGAAGAAGGAATATAGCACAAATGGGTCAGCTATTTCCATTCCAGTAAACACAGAGGCCCGAAATACTCTGAAAGTTACACAATGAATAAAAAAACAAAAAACAGATGTGTATGTTAAAGTATTCGAATTGAACGAGAAAAAAAAATATGGACGTACTCGAGGTAAATAGCTCTGTGAGTAAAACCATATCAGGACTTGATATTAGTTATTTTATATCGGCTTTTCGAGGAGGGTGCTTTTTATTGCGAGCAAAATTACCCGGGTGCATTTTTCAGCACAACACTGGCGCAACTCTCCAACCAGCTCAAACCTTAGAGGGACGAACCACCGGAAACAACCTGCCTTCACTTTGATGGACAGCTTCAACCAACCAATCACAAGCAGACTTTCTCATTCCCATTAGCCAATCGTATTGCTAGAATCCATACATATAATTTACGGCGCAATCAAGGTAGGTTGAGGGCACTTAGGGTCCATAGAAATTTGACAGCTTCACAGGTGAGACACTCGTCAAGAGGCTGTTTCACTTTACGTTTCGGTTTTCTTTCTCCCTGGAACTCCACTCACTGTGAGCCTGGGGTTGTCACATTCAAAAAACAACCTTTCGAAGTCTTATCACGCCGGCAGCATGAGCAAAAAGAAAAAGGACTGGAAGACTGAAAAAGGTAAGGGTTGTTTTGGAGGTGGGTAATGTGGCTATCCCCTCCACGCCACACAGCATGAATAAAAACCGGAACACTGAAAGGTGCATTCTCTGTTTTCTGCTTTAATAACTTATTTTCTAGACTGTTCTGTTCATCCCAGACTGATGCTGCACAGCTGTTACTGTTGCGCCTCTGCTTCACAATGCATGCTTGACATTCGCAGCAGCACCTCTCACTGCTCCTTGCCTCTCCATTTGCTTAAAATCTGGCCGCTCAGATAGGTTTTCGTTATTTTTCAGCACGTAAATGACAGCCACTAACTAGTATTTCCTGTTTTTTACCTGTGTCGTGCAGCAGCATTAGCTCAGTGAGGTGCAAGCAGCCCATTCCGGGAATATAAATGCCCTTGCAACCACAAAAGGCTGTCATCTGTCGTTTACAAACAGAAGCAGTCTTCTAATTAAACAATGGTCTTAATCTATAGCAAGGATAGAAAAAAAGCCGTATTATCTGTGTTTGAGGCGCAGAGGAAATGTTTTGTGTGGTGGTTCTTTGAGAGTAAGGACTATGGGACCTGTTGCCTATCAAAAAAGGAACCAGACTGCTGCCAGGTTGATATTAGTTTATTGACCTATTCACACCATAATAATCTTTCATTGCATATCTGTTCTTGCTGTATAACATGTGTGTAAATAACCATTCATTAGGTCTGCATGCACCCATGCCACCATCCATGAATGTCACAGAGATAACATTGGTAAGGTTGTATCAAACATGCAATAATTTGCAGAAACAATTACAGTAAAAATGAAGAAAAAAATAATGGGTGGTATCTATCACCTTTTGTTTTTTTAAGTGTTTTCCAATAATAGTATGTTCAGTTTCAATTCGGTTTATTTCTATAGCGCCAATTCACAACACATGTCGTCTCAAGGCACTTTATAGTTCACCAGATCATACAGTTAAATTAATTCAAAGTTTTCTATCTAAGGAAAACCAGTTGATTGCATCGACTCATCAACTCGGGTGCAATCCCTCACACTAAGCATGCTTGTAGCGACAGTGGAGAGGAAAAACTCCCTTTTAACAGGAATGCAACTGTAAAAGGCGGCCTTGTCCAGAAAATGCACAGCTCTGAGCCAACCCCCATGTTAGAGGATGAAGAGAGCACATCCAGCCAGTCAAAGTCAGAGACACAGGACTACACTGGAAAAACAGGCCGATCTCCAACATCTATAAACAAAGGTGTTGATGGCAGCAGCACAGCTGATATTTCTCTCCACAGCCAAACAGGAACAGATGTGATCAGCTCTTTAGATTCAGGCTGGATCATTTCCTATTTTTTTTAAGTACAGCTGACAAATTTGATGGAGAGAATTTGGTTAAAGAATTTTTCAAACTTTTTGCCACAGATATTCATTTTAATGTAGTCCTTGACTCTAACTGGGCAAATATGAACTTTGATCTAAATATCTCTATTCTAGCTGTGGTTGTATGATTAGAGGTGCTATCCTGCTGCTCTGACACAGACTCCTAACGGATCTATCAGAATCATCCTGTATTAAGCTTCATCCATCGTCCCGTTATCTCTGCCACGCTTCCTCATTTCTTGTTGCTGCCACCACCATGTTTTAGTTCTGTTATACTGTGTAATAAGGTGATTAGCAGTAAGTTTTCCACCACATGTAGATCAGAAAGATTTAACAACTAACAAAACCCACACTTTCTTTGACTCTGGACAAAAAAATGTGTTTCCTTCTAAGTTATTTTGAGAAATACTGTAAAATCAGATTTGATGCCACAATCTGTTCTTATTTTTTTCACTATGTTGTTAAAAGGCGTCCGCAGTACTAAGGTGACTGATTTCTTTATTCAAAACTATGGTCTATAAACCCATATAGGTCTTATATGGCTTCATACTTCATAAAATACATATAATGCCAAATACCTGTCATGGTAGCTAAACTTTGAAATTTGTCAGTGATGAACTGCTAAACCTAGTGACGGAGTGTTTTACTGTAGTCCAGAAAGCATTGCTGTGTTCAGCTGCTTTTTTTTATTCATCCATGTAGAATAAAAGCAGCTGTGGAAATGGAAAAATAAGAGCTGGTGATGAGGAAAGAAAGAAAGAACATAAGAGATAAAACAGATAGCGTGCTTTGCTGTAATACTTTAAATGTACGACTGGATGACTGCGAGATCTCGCCGAAGGGTGACCTGAATAATATTTTGCTTTCAATCAAATTAAGGGTCTTGCCAACTATCACATCATCACAGATTTATTCACATTTGATCGTTCTGTTTTTTTCACAGCACCTTGAAAAAGTATTCTCAACCTCTAGAACCTTTCTTTTCCCCCCTTAGTTTTTTTCTCAGTTTTTCTTGTTATGCAGGGGTCAGCAGCCCAAACTGCTCAGAGAGCCATATTGGACCAAAAATGTAAGTCTTATATATGCCTCGTATGGCAACACGGGCTCTAAGTGTATTCGCCCACTAAAAAAAAGGACTACATGGGCTGAAATATATAATAAGCATTCATGATTAAATGTTTATCCTGGATCAAATGGTACATAGCAGCATGAGGTGAGTGAGGAGCAGTGAACGCTCTCACCGCGTGCCACTTCACCATGCAGTTTAGGTTTTGTTGCATAGATGAAATGATAGAAACACGATAAAGGAAGCTTTCTATGATGGACATGTTTCTGTTGGGAGGAGTTGATTGAGTCACGAGGAACCAAGCAGGAAATGACATCCATCAGATCAGTGCACTCTAACCCCGAAATCTCACATCCTCTGTCACCTGTGATCCTTGCTGTGATTTATATTTTTAGGATTTGGGGGGAAAAAAATAGAGGAAAGTTCCCATACCTGCATCAGAGCGCTGTTTGATCTGTGGACGGTTTTCCATGCTTGCATCTATGTTTGCACTCCTCTAATTTATCCAGAAGTGCTGCAGTCACACTTTCTCTCTTGCTCCCAACTTTGTAGTCGGCTGCATATTTAGCCTTCCCTGGAAATGCTTTTCCAAATTACTCTTTTTATTTTTTTGACAACTTCTAATTACACAGCAAAAATGCAGACAATCCTTCCGCATTGATAATGAAAGCAAATGATTCGGTCCATTTTTCTTTGAATCATCAGTTCTCATCAGCTATCTTCCTTTTTTCCCCTTTGGGATCCATGGTCCGAGACACACCCGCCACTTTGTTTGCCTGGCACCGCGCCACGCTGAAACATGTGTTGCAGGCTATGACCACTGATCTCTATGGCTATGATGCAAATTTTTGTTGAAAGAAATGGTTAAATTTATTGTTTAAATGTATTTATTCTACAAATGTTTACTGGAAAACACATTGAATGTTTGTTTGAAGTCCTGGACACCATATTAAAATAAACAAAAAAAGCTCTAGGGAGCCACAAGAGGCGCGCTAAAGAGCCACATGCGGCTCCGGAGCCACAAGTTGCCGGCACCTGTTGTAATGGAACAATGCAAATCTGAATATATTTGAAGGATTTTCTTATACAGTAAAAATTCTGGTAGGCCTTTCTATTTATATATATATTTTTTCTACTAACCGACAAAACAAATGGCAACCAATGCAGGCAATTACCCCTGAAGTCACCTAGTTAGGATGTGAAGTCTACCTGTGAGTAGTTTGATCTTTGTTTGAATCCAGCTGTTCTCTGGAGGCGTCAGAGCTTTGTTAAAGAGCATCATTAATCAAACAGTATGAAGAACAGGATACATTAGGATGTTATTGAGAGTTTTAAAGCTCTGTCTCAACCTCCCAAGCTTTAAAATGTTTCCAAAGCACTGATTAGGTTCTCATTAGGAAATTGAAGGTTGGGGCACAACTGAAAACATACAAGAGCATAGTAAATAGAGAGGCTGGATAAACATGGCACTAATCAGCAACTTGAGTCCTACGGGAGCTATAGGTGGATCAATATCTTGGCATGACGTCTATTAGTTGTTAATTTCACAAATCTAGCCTTTGAAAAAGACCTGGAAGAAGAAAGACCTCAGCCTAAAGAAGTCTTGTCTACAGTTAACCTAAAAACTGAATACACATCACCCTGAGTGCCCTCTCCCTGCGGTGAAACATGGTGGTGGCAGAATCATGCTGCACAGATGCAGGGAATGTAGTTACTGTAGGTTGTTATGAAGAAAGATTGAGCAACATACAAGGCAGTCATTAAAAAAACCTGTTGAAGGCTGCAGAATAAGAAGGGGTTGGGGATGAGATTTAACTTTCATTAGAAGGACAGCTCTAAATATACAAGACAATAGTTTAGATCAGCGGTTTTTCAGCTTGTTAGGGTTAGAAATGACCTTTCTTGACTAGGTGCAACCAAAATAAACAGTATTATATTGTCAGGTTTTACTATCAATTACTATCAATCATTTCTAACTCAGTATATTGTTTTCATTCATTAAATAAAAAAGTGTAACAAAAGAAGTATGTTGAATAAACTTAAATTATAAAACGTTACCTAAAATTGCTGTTAATTGAGCTGTAAGCAACAATACCCTTAAATAAAATGATTCCCTTTTCCAGTCATTTCTTACTGGCCATGTTTTTAACTGCTAAAAGGGTCACAAAAGTCTGGATATATATTAGACCAGACAACAAGTGTTTATAGGCAATATCTATTCTGTATTTTGTCTTTAGTTGAACCAGAGCAGGGATAGTAATCCACCCTAACAGATTGGTGCTGAATGGTTGGAGCCGTAAGGCCAATTTATGCTTCTGATGTATAGCCTCTGCAACCGTAAAATCTGTCTCTGCGCGACCACGCCCCCTACACAGAGGTTCTGCAACAATTATCGTGCACCTCAAAAAAATCCTGACTACGCGTTGGACGTCGCAAACCCACGCAGACCTCAAGCGGAAGTGCACAGACAAAAAGCAGCTGTGATTGGTCCTTGGTATGCCTTTCCGGCTGTCTGTCCTTCTCCATACGGTATTGGGGCGCCCCATTTTTAAAAACTGAAGAACAACTACAATGCACAACCTACGCGACGTCCTTTTGTCTTTTTGCCAACTCCATTAACAGAACCTGTTCCTCTTCGATGTGTAGCAACTCTAGATCCATCTCCGTGACCGTAATATCTTGCAGACGCGCCATTGTTGTTTTGGAAGATAAACACTCCCGCCGGCGCCGCCAAAGTTCTCACGAGTTCTCCAATAGGCTCCCCCTTGTGCTTTAGCGGGAAACTGCTGTGTGACCCTAGAAATTCCAGACCGATGGTGCAGAAACATACCAGAAAACTGGTTCGCAACCAGACCAAAGCGACATTTAATGTGTGGGTTGCAGAAGTCTAATCTGCCCTTTAGAGGTAGAGGAAGAATACACACAGAGGATTTCCCTACGAAGTTTTAAAATTATAAAGATATGATATGCCACACCAGCCTACTCCCTTTGGTGATGCTATCCATGTTTATTTTGCAGAGGTCTCATATACAATCATCAGCTCTTTGTGTCTCATGGAAGTAGTATCTTATAAAACCTGAATCATTGATCGCCTCCTCCCCAGCGAATTAAGTGGAGGTGTTGAAAAATCTGAATTTTTGTTTACATTTGTGTTGCGAAATCCAATCATGAACTAGATGTGGCTGTGAGCTACAGTAAAGCAGGCAGCGGAGCTTTTTTTAATTACAATAGAAGACAGAAAATATTGCTGACAAAGGATGAAGTGGAAATGCTCTTACAGTTGGTTATAGTGGCTTTACAAAAATTCTTAGAAGGATAAACGGCACTGGAGGTTAAAGTGCTATATCCAGCACAGACACTGGTCATCCGTTGCCTTCTCTTCCGATGTCGCCTGCTGTCAGTTCAAGGAAGCTTCCCTGATCATCCAGCCGTAGTCCAAGCTAGCTCTTTCTTTCTGGCGGGCTTCTCCCCACCTTCAGCATTCTGTCTACCTGGTGTACTTATCTGTCCTCCTGCTGTGTTCCACAACAGTTAGCCTCTGAGCTAGCTGCTGCTAGCTGTAGCCTTTCCCTACTGGCACTGTTTCCCCGGCGGGCTTCTCCACTCCCTTCCTGAGATGGCAGCGGCTAGCCACTACCTTCACTCCCCGCTCTGGTGCGCTGACTCTGGTGGGTTCCTCTGATCTCCCACTGTGGTTCCTTAGTTCAAAAGGGTTGATGGCTGGCAGCTGTGCCAGTCTTGGTTCTCTCTCTCTGCCAGTGTTCTCAAACTAATTTCTTATGCTCTTGTCTGAGCACCAGAATGCCATCTCACCTTCTCTCATTTATTTGGGTGATTCCTACCCCATTGCAGGTCAGCAGGGCCCCGAACTGGGTTGTGAATAGCTGGAAGTACCGCTGAAAACATGACCCAGACGGACTGCCACCACCTAAAGGAGATGGTGGCAGTCCCCATACTGTTTCTGGTGAACCAGATTCCTGGAAATTGAACCCAGAAATGCAAACGGCTTTCTTTGCCTTTCAAAAGTAAAACAAAAATTGCCGGTGGCTTTGTAAATCCATGTACGCCATGATGAGGTTAAACCAACAGCCATCAACCTTTGGCTTTACTGGCCAGACAGATTTTGAGGCAATTAGTAGCAGGCAAAACTGCCAAAATGTTCACTGGTTTCACATTATCTGAACACACCTTTAGAAAACAGTGTGAAATCGGCCCAGATCAAATGATATAATGTCAGATCTTCATGAAAGAAACATATCATAACTACACTTCCCAGCATGCATTTTACCACTTAAGTGATTAAAACAATGCCTAACTGCTCTTCTGCGCTACGGTCAATGCTTGATGCTATATGCAGCTCATGCTGAATATGAAATCACTTCTAAACAAGTGGATTAAGTCACAGCTTGTGGGCAGGTTTGACTCCCACCTTTTAACACCTTTTTTCGTAGAAGCAGCTCACCACAGTAATCTGACTGGACGGCCGTGTCTGATCTTCCAAACTTCCAACCAGAAACGAAACTAAACTAAACTAAGATCTTTGCATT